TCACCTGTCACATGACCTGGAGTTGCTGTAGTCAAGCATTTACATAGGAACACAAAAACGAAGTGTTATGATGTCATAGAATTAAAGTAATCCATTCAATATCAAACCAAGGTATGCATAGATCTCCCTTCTTGTTCAGGGAGGTTTTGTCACATACTCAAAAAAAATGTGCAAAATTTCTTGAAACAAGATTGGAAATAACTATAGAGTAACATTTTCATCTTGTGAAGCAGTATGCATGCCCTGAAGCAAAAACCCCCGCATTTACAATTTTTGGTTTTCATCTTTCTCAGTGGTCATAGCTCTAAATATATGTATCCTATATTTTCAAATGACAGAATTTGAATTTACATAGTAAAGACATTTTTGATCTATTATTTTGAGTTATTATTTTTGATTTATTAACTAGCATGTGGAATGTTTGCTGCATTTTCATATTATGGCAAGTACATTTGTTTTCTTGGAGTGGCAAAGAACACCTTACAGTAATTTGTAATATCTTTGTAATAATTTTGTGCAGACATTCCTTGAGTAATGTCAGAGTCTTTGCAATTGTTAATGCTAAAAAAAAAATGTTAATAATTGCTAATAAAAATAATTTTATTAGCAGTTATCAGTTTTGGCTGAAAGCACTACACCTTTTCTTATGTAAGAAAGGACACGGGTCAGATTCTCCTCACAGATATAATACTTTCATCTTAGTTTCTTCATAGTGCAGTAGTATTATAGAAATGTTTTATGTGATATGATGGAAATATTACTTGGCCTGTGGTGTCAGCAGTATATTGAGAAAATATATCTACTGTAATAGTGTGGCAGTGAAAAAGTGTAGAATTACTGTCAGAACTAAAATACAAAAAATACATTTTCTTTGCCCTTTCTCTTCAGATTAAGGATTTAAGTTAAATAAATCCCACCAGAGGGAAAGACTATAATTCATTCTAGAATTATACTTATTCACTTTATAAAGTATTTTGGTTATATAAAAAGCATAAATGTGAAATGATATTACAATTCTCCAATTATTCACTAACACTAGTAACAATGTTCTAACTTCAGAGTATGTAAATATATGAGATTCAGCATGAAAATAATGTTTAAGGGCAAAATAAGCATGCAGGTTGTTTTCATTTATGTTAGAAGTATTTTTAGGTCAGAAGATAGGTGAGGAAGAAAGAGACAGAGGCAAACTCATCCCTTCCTAGAGAAAAGAAACTTCCCCACAGCAGAGGTGTGTGGACCCCAGAGGCAACAGGAAGGCAACTGCTGCTGGGTGGGGAAGATGAGAGTGAGCAGAATAAACATCACCAGTGCACTCTGAATTCTGAGCTATTGGTGCTGGAGAGAGCTGTCTTCTGAAAAAAGACAGGTGCTCTGCAGTGCTCATCCCCTCCAGCACTGACTGACTTCTCAGGCTTAATGCGCAGACCACAAGCTGCAGTAAAGGCACAAAGTTGTGGTTTGTCAGTATATTGTTATTCTTGTATATTTTGTCAGTATATTCTTCTTCTTTTGTATTTTTGTCAGTATATTCTTCAGTCAGCAGCACACAAAGTCATGCAGTTTTCAGTCTCCTTGCACTGAGTTGCCCGAAATGAACAATCAGTTCTTGTTGATGGCTGAATTTTTGCATGTATGCAATGCAAGAAAATTCCCTGTTTTGTTAAGCTTATATTACTACTTTGTTTATTGTTAAAAACAGGCCACCATTAGGTTTTTACACCACCATAGTAGTAACTGATTTGTTTAAAAAATGAAAATAAGTAACTTTGGAAGTGTGATATCAGTGCCAGGTGTCTGTTTATCAGAACTGTAGGCAAGTACAGTGTTCCTGTGGATTTCAGGGGGGTTGAAAAGTAAACATTTGTGAAAGCTAACAGAACTAAACATTAACTGATATCACAAGTCATGGAGATAAAAATAATCTCCAAATTACAGGCCTAATTCACTACTGAGTAGTTCTACACATTTACTAGTATAACTCTATTCATTTTGCATTTAATTTTTGTGGTATCAAACTGGAAGAGGATAAGAGTAAACCATTCAGTTTACTGGATGGGTGTAAATGAATCTTTATTTACATAATTTTTTTCCTAGATGGAAAATAATGGAAAATCAATATTCATCCCATAATAGAAGATTCCTAACATTCCCTGGTATTATGACTCTGTACAGGAATTGCCTTTTAAAAAGCAGGTGTCTAAATCAAGCAGATTGTAAAGAGAATGTGCATAAATAAAGACAAAACCAACTATTTCATAAACATGCAGTGTCTATATTATCCATTTTATTTACTCAGTTCTACCTTCAAACTCTTAATAGTTTATTGATAAAAGACCCCACAACAATCTGTTTCTATTTCTTTAGTGAGTAAACAGGATTCTGTTTTGCTTTAAACATCCTCCTCCTCTTCCTCCTCATCATCATGAACAATGCTCTGATTGATGAAATTTCTGCTGATGATTAAGCCAGAACTAATAGACAGAGTTCAGTTGATTCTAAAATGCTTTTTGATGTCTTTTCTTGACATCTTCTAGGTGCAATAATAAAATTATGGTCTCACATTGCTTCTCTTCTATTGTTTCAACCATCTTTATTTGAATGGAAGGCTTTGAAGGTAAGTCTGGAAAATGCTCCTTTGAAATGAAGTTATGCTTTGTAAAGAATATTAGTTTTGGGGCTGGAGCTGTTTCTGGTGATTCACTCTAGGTGGTGCTGATAATATAGAGTGTTCACTAAAGCATTCTGCAGCTGTACAAGCTCTCAGACTGTCTGAGAGGCTGCTTCAAGTGATCTCTTCAGAATTCATGGATGAAGCATTTAGGATTCCAGTTGCAAATTTTTATTTCATATTAAAGTTGTACTGGTGTGGGATTTTTTTTCAAACAAATATAGATTGTCCTGGTAACAGGATTCTCAAGTTCTTAGGCTTTCATTTTAATTTTCTGTTTCTTCTGAAAGTACTAAACATGTCCCAGTCAAAGAAAGAGGAATATCTTAGAAAGTCCATACCTTTCAAGTTTTGTCTACTTTCTCTCTAAGTCTTTGCATTTACAATTTGTTCAGACCGGAATTTGGTAATCTTTTCCACTTTTTCACTAAAACGAAGGTTTTGCCTATTCCCTGATAAAATTTATTGGAATGAGATGGATAAAAAAGGAGGAAGTTTTAGAAAGAATAGATTTATCTAAATTTAGAAACTTTTTATACAAATCCTTTAGTATACTTCTAAATAAAGGAAGCTTGAAAAATCTTCAGTACAATACCTTTTACAATCAGAGGAAACCATTAATCTCTTTTGTCTGGCTAATGAATTCCTTGCAGTGTGCCTCCGAGTTACCCACTGGCAACATTTCAGTGGGAAAAAGACCCACTGAAATATTGACAAACCCATCCAGACTTCGGCCATCGCTGATGTGCAAAGATACCTGCTCAATGACATATTTTAGCTTTTGAGACCTGTTGAGAGTTTATCTCTGGCACTGGGCCACAGTCACGGGGTTGAAGTGTTTGTGGAGCTGAGGCAGTGTCCCCACACAGGGCTGTGACAATTCCCACACGGGGCTGTGACAATGTCCCACACGGGGCTGTGACAATGTCCCACACGGGACTGTGACAATGTCCCCACACAGGGCTGTGACAATTCCCACACGGGGCTGTGACAATGTCCCCACACAGGGCTGTGACAATGTCCCACATGGGGCTGTGACAATGTCCCCACACAGGGCTGTGCTGCTGTGTGACCTGTCCAGGCTGGACTGTCACCTGCACAGGGCAGGGCACTGGCACTGCCTGGCAGCTGCAAGCCAAGGGCCAGCTGGATCTTGGTCCTCCTGGGAGCTTTGCACAAGAATGTAAGATGAACCCTGAAGAAGCTTCATAATTCAGCAATGAAAAGCCCTGGGAAACTTTAATTTTGAACCTATTTCTACTTTGTGCTGATGGTTGGACTAGAGACCACAAGAGGTCCCTCGCAACAAAAATAGTTCTATAGTTTTGCTAGAGAAATTTTAATTAGTTTTACCTTAGCTTTAATTTATAAAGCTTGTCTATAAGCCACTAAGGCCTTAGTTTTGCTTCTTTTTTTTTTTAACCTCAATATTAACAAAAATATAAAGCTTCAATTATTTTCTTTTTATTTGCTCTGTCTCTTCCTAAACTTTCTGTTTCCCTTTTCTAAACAGAATATAAATGTGAAAATCTAAATGAAATCTAAGATTTTTGTGTCATTTCAGCCCCTCACCCCCAGTTTGTCATCTTCTCTCTAGGAAACTTTACCAAATATCAGAAGGAAAAAGGAAATCTTGGCCCTTAGCTCTATATTAGTACAGTGATTATACTGTAATATTTGCAAAGTCTGCAAAATTTAGTTTTTAAGAAAGGTAAAAGGAATTATGTGGTCATTAATTTTTACTGCTTACAGAGATGAAAAAAAGGAAGGATAGAAACAATATTACAGATCAAAGAAAATACTTTAAAAACAATAAAGAGTTCCTTCATTTTCAATCCTGTCAAACATTTTTTCCTCAAGTATTGACATAAACAGCAACACTTTTCCCTTTTTGTGAAAATCTTAATCCCACTATGGCATAGGTGAGCTGTTCTGGCTTCAGTACACTCGTTATCCTTCCTTCTGTAATTGCAGCTCAGGCTGATCCAATGGAATGTGACATTGTGAGAGAAAAGGTTATTGAGCACCAGGGGGGACTCACTGGCTGAGTATTGGTCAGGTAAGACCCACTGAGTTCTAAAACCTTTGCCAGTACTCAGCTGAAACCTTGTCTGTGGTATCAGGAAACCTATGCCAATTTTTGACAGCAGACGTGTGGCTGAGCTGCTGTGTTCAGATTAAGAACTGGTCATTCCAACAGTCTGAAACTTGATATATATATTTGGCTGACCAGTGGTGGGGGGGGAAAAAAAAAGGCAACATCCAGTGCAAAGCTATAAAAGCCAAACCCTTCAGTGTCTCTTGAACCAACATTCCTATTCCAGTCTGTGCTTAGAGGATGCCTGGGATGTGTTTGACAGAGCTGCACTGAGCTTGGCAATATCCCCTGACTTCTCACATAAGAGCAGCAAATATTTCAGTCTCTGGTCTTTCTACAAAGATTAACAAATGATCTCTCTGCTATGGTAAGTTTAATTTTTCTGTGGCTTACTGCTGATTCACACAAGAAAATGGAAAAGAACAGTCAGGAGTAAGTGCATTATAAAATGGTTTGAGGTCTTTGAACTCATGTATTTCCCACTGGATTGTCCAAGACTCTCTCCTGCTGACTCCTGTAAGAGGTGCACCTGGTATTTTTTGCAAGGGGAGAAAAAGGGGGAAAAAAAGTAAAAAGGAATCTTAATGGGAAAATGTGTGATGCCTGTTGTCTCTGAAGAAAGGATTAAGTTTCTAGTACAAGGTGAACAGTCAACGCAGTACATTAAAAAAAAAAAAGAGCTTAAAACAATGGGGAAATATTTTGTCAACATCTCACTCTGAACAATTCCAATTCCCACTAGAGCTATATATTGACTCATCAAGTCCCATTGTTCCTTGACAGCCAGAAATAAATGAAGAGTAAAAGTAAACACAATTCTGATTTGACTTGTAGAAACCTTTAAATAACAAATATTTTAATCTTTTCTCTCAGTGTCAAACAAATATATAACACAAATGATGGGAAAAATAAAGACATTTTTTTTCCCAGCAGATTAGCATTCCTTCTCTTTTATTTGGCAGGCTTTTTCCAGCTAAGAAAACTTGTGATTGTGGTGCCCTCATCAGAATGCATACAGCTCTGCACTGACACAGCTGTGTAGTGGCTAGATAAAATCTGATTTCTGAATGCTGACAAGGATGTAAGTGAGTTTAGAGTGACTTCCAGGATGTCAGCTGAATTGAACTATTCTGCAAGGAGGATGTCCACAAAGTTTCCATAAGAGCTGTTGCCATATTGCAAAAATGCCTATAGAAATTAATGTAGAAGAGCTTGTTCTGCTGATGAACTAATGCACTCCATCTGAAGAGATCTAGTTTTTTTCTGCATGGATTCTTATATTACATACTTATGGAAGCTGGCTGACATCTGCTACATGATATTTGTTCTTTCAATCACACTCCAGGACATAATAACTAAATAAGATCCTTATTTTGATAGGTATTTAGAGAGGATTTTTTAAACAAAACTTTTTAAATTGGTACATTTTTAAAAGATTCATTTCATTGTAACACTATGTTAAATATTTAAAAGGATAGAGCCTGACGCCTAAATGTGGTAAGGCAGAACAGAGAGGTTTCCTAGGATTCCATAATATAGAAATAATTCTGGGAAAACTATTCTATCTTGCTCAGTAAAAGAAAGTAAAGTTATTTCTTCAGAGAAGCAAAGTTGTCTCTTTTATCTTTGTGGTTTTAACCATTTTAGCCTCTGATATAGTCCTATACATTGTCTTTCTCCTATTGGTCAGATCTCCCTAACTTTTTAAAGGTCTTTAACTAAAGACCTAAAGTGCTTTCTGTCTTGATGGCATCCTGCAATACTGTGAGATGGTGGCACGACAAACCTCATCCCAAACCATGCAGCATATGGAGGTAATATTGGGAATTGTAACTCTTTGGGAATTTTAAGGCTTAAAAACTATTCTAAATATGAAGCAGTGTTCTAATTAATACAACTCTAGCTGACACTTTCCCTAGAAAAATATGCATTGTCCTGGGAAGAATTCCAGAGAAAAGGGAAATTATCTCATTCTTTTCAGCTCCCACTCCCCTTACAGAAATTTTAAACAGCTGAGCATTTCTTCCTGAGCTAGGCTGACCTCCACCCCAAAATGTTCCATTCTTAGATAGGGAAGGAAAAACAAAAACAAAATGTTTTTATTACTCTCCTAAATGGATTGAGCACAGATCAGGCTCCCTGGGTATTTGGGAAGGGAGATCCTAAGCACGTATGTTAAGAACCCCTCCCACATTCAGTAAGTTAATGGGGAAAATGTAAACCTCTGAAACCTCAGCTCTTGTAAGGATTGAGGTCAGGACTTAGGTACAAAGGAAAGGGAAGAACCTACAAGACTAGACAGACATTTCTTGAATGCCAGTAGTGTCTAAGTGTTGTTCATTACGAAGTTACTGACAGGAGTGGGTCTATGCCTTCAACAAGGGGTAAAAAGAAATGTAATTGGGTGATTATAAAATGACATGTTGAGATGGGGAATTCCACCATACCTTCAGACAGCATATTAGTCTATGCCTTCAGGGACTAAGTTTTTTGCTTCTCAAAATCAGACAATCTTTTCCAGAATTAAATATCCCTCCTGTTTTATTCTCAAAGTCACAAATTAAACAGACTTACTTTCTAGTCTTTTGAGATCTTGTTTTCTTGGCAACTACAGATGCTTTGTGAAAATATCTCTTTAATTTCTTCCCCTTTTACCATCTTTCATGTCTCAAAGTTGGCTTAATCTGATTCTTCCTGTAACTGAAGTGTGGAGCAGAATCTGCCAGTTCCTTGTGCAATGTCTGTTTTCATATTTGCTTGTTTGAGTAATTTTCTCATTAGAGATTCTGCAAGGTAAGGCTGCAGGTATTTAAGACACTCTAGGATAACTTGAGTTACCCCATGTTGTAGTGTTCAATGTCTAAAATGTTTTGTTTGTTCTGGCAATGGATGTTGTGTTTTTGTATTTATTACTAAATCTGTTGTGGTAGCACTTTCATGGGATGCAGGGTGACATTTCTCAGAAGTCACTGCAGTGCCTGTCTCTTATTTTAACGTGCTGTGCAGCTGGCAAGCTGTGTTACTGATATCTCACACAACTCTGTCAGGCTATTTATCTGCGTGCCCTCTGCTGCTTCAGAGTCACCCTGATGAAAAGTCACCTCTGGGTTGAGTTGCTGGTGGGATGCCAGGCAGTTCCCTGTGTGATTCCAGCTCACATACCTGCCACGGTCCTGCTGGCTTAGCAGGACTCATGCTTCAGTGTGCTGCCCTGCTTGGGTCTTATATTTCATTTGTACCTGCTCAGTTTTTAAATCTCTCTGAAGCACAGATGCCGCAGGGCTGGACTCCTGTGTTTGTGATCAAACTTCTCATATGTATGAATTCAATCCCATACTCTGTTCAGACTCCCAATTTGCAGTTAAACCATTCCTTACAGACATGTAAGGTTCAGCAGTGCATGCTGCTTTTCCACGTGACCTGCTCTCATGGATTATCTGGTGGCATGTGACAGAAAGAAACGTCTTCTTACTCAGTATTTGCCCCCTGCCCTCAGTTATATGTTGAATTTATAGGCATCAGCTATATTAGTAAATGCAAGTATGCCTGGCAATTTTCCTGGAACTGAATTCTCTGTGCTTGTATGTCTTAGGACAGCCCCAATAAAGAATTTGATGTTCATGACATTCCCTGAACAGTTCCAACACTTGGCCAGACAAAACTGGCACAGCTAAAGGCAGATTGCTTGCAACCTGTTTGGTTTGAAGAGTGGCAGTTTATTAATAGACTTGAGCTGGACTGTGATAATTGTTCTCAGTTCCTATAGGTGTGAGTCACACATTCTGGAGCTGACATGACACTTCTGTTCAGATGGCTGCAGCATCCTCCAGCATTTTACAGTACCATCTATCCCAATACATGTGTGTGGAAGACAATACTCACGTGAGTCAGGAACACAAAACCTATTCAGCAAAGTGTTCCTTCCATGTTCTGTGGACATCTGGCAGCTCTCTTCCCCTCCTGCTGAAACTCTAAGTACTACCAAGTGAAAAGTAGAGCGACCTATTTTCCTATTTTTTCTATTTTTCCTGCCAGTTTGTTATTCTTCTCTGTCATGTGGAGCATCCTTAAGGTTTACAACTGGAAAGTCCTGTGTTCAGAAGGGAACAGGCAATGATGTGCTCCCTGCTAATCTGCTGAAACTATTGGCCTGCCTGTTGTCTGTATCCAGAACCAGCATTTTTTGCTCAAGGCTCTGATCAGCATCCTCCCTGTATTATTATCTTGGGAAATAAGCTCCTACACAGTAAGGGTAAATTGTGAAATTGTCTCACCAAAGAAGGGCAAGGGAGCTGGGGAAGGGTCTGGGGCAAACGTCTACTGAGGAGCAGCTGATGGATCTGGGGGTGGTTATTCTGGAGAAAAGGAGGCTCGGGGGGGGGACATTATCACTCTCTACAACTGCATCAAAGGAAGCTGTAAAAAGGAGTTCAGTCTCTTCTCCCACATAAAAAGTGTCAGAACAAGAGTAAATGGCCTCAAGCTGAAAAGTTGTATATAAATTTGAATTCTATATGTGTTTACTCATTCACTTCAATAATGAAAAACATGTTATAAGTGTTTCTAATTACATGATTTTGAACAAAAATATTACAGTATCCTGTCAAACAAATCTCAGAATTCTCTACTACATGTGTACTTGTTGACAAACAATAATAAACCAATTATTGTTTTAGTTCTTGGTGAACATTTAATAGAATTCACATCCCTTACATAGCAAATACACACATATATGAGATTGACATAAATTACTCAATAACAGATTGTAAATTCTCTCTCCCTCTCTCTCCTTCTCTTTCTTTCTTTAATTCATCCTTCCTTTCTTTCTTGTCTTTCACCCTACCCCTTTATCCAAAACATGCTGTTATGTGCTTATACAGTAATCCAGGGACTAATACCAATTTCCATGTCAAGTGTATAACTTACTGATAAACTGAGAGGTTTTGCAGATTTTGTATATATGTAACAATTTATTGTTCATTTTTATATTATGTATACTCTTTATATCTAATTAAAATCATGTCTGGTTAATATTTTTTTTCTGTCACTGCTGTTACAGTCTTAAAATATATATTTTCACATGAGTTGCAACTGTCTGCAGATGCCTTACAGTGTACAAGCCTACATCTAGACAAGTCACCTTCAGTCATTTTTATAGGCAATAAAAAATAATAGACATTTCCACAGTTCAGTTTCCTCTCACACTTGAAGTGTGCAGTGCAGAGGTCTCCTCTTTTGCTGCCAAAAACCTTTAGCAAGGATACTAAAACTTCTTTGTCTCACTTATATTGTCACAAAAGTTCTTCTGAGCATGTTTCTCAGCAGAAGAAAATCCTTTTCTTCAAGACCCTCCTGGTTTTTTTCACTGTTCTAAATTCAGCAGCTCTCCAGGGAGACTTCTGATAGCATCCTTGCCCCATGCAAGGAGCTGGTGCAGAAGCTGTGGATGAACTGATTTTCTCAAAGTTGTTGGACAACTGACAATGTCAGCAATGCCCAGAAGGACTCCAAGAGACAAAGGTCAACTTCCCATTTTAGGAAAACACTGTGAAAAGACTTTGAAATTAGGAGCATTTCCAGACTTCAGTGCATGAACACGTCTGACTCGTTGCTGGCAGCTGCCTGCAGAGGTTACTGGAGGCTGCCTGCAGTGGATGGTGGCAGCCACGCCAGAGATGTCCTGAAGAACTCCAAGACCTGCTGGGCAAAAGGTCCATGTGAAATTCATGAGTACTCCAAAAAAAGTTTGGAAAATTGAGAAAACGTTGTACAATGGCCAAAGCCAGTGATAATTTCTGACATGTTGTAATAGAAGTGAAAAGATGTAGTAATTTTATTGATAAAATCAGTTCTTTTGCTAAAATAGTCCAGTGGTTGATCTATGAACACAAACTGAAATGGTGACCAAGGGAAATGGGAGACAGGGAATGTCCCTCTGTTGACAGCTACATTCATCCATTCATCTTTGGGTTTACAAGAGATTCTTTATGTGTAGGATGGTTGGGGTTTTCCCCCTATTCTTCATGCAAGATAACACATTTAATTTCTCATTACCAGATTAATTGTGTAGTTTAACCATTTATCTAGATGTCACTTTTACAAGGACAGTTTTATGTCAGATGTTATATCTAATTGGTAACCAGGAATGGAATCCATCTCTGGGATAAATTCTTCTTACTTCTTTATCTTGCAGTCAAAATAATAAACATTTGTTCAGAACTCACATCTTTCAGAATGAAAAAGAAACAGAACAAACCCAAATTAGTCCAGATTTACTGAGGAGTTCCATGTCACCTCGGTAAGCAACTGCTGATTTCACCCAAATTCAAAATTACCCTGACCATCTGGATCAGCCACCCCAGCATGTAGTAGGGCTGCTCTGGACCTGTGAGGTGAGTCAGAGTGCTCAAGCTGGGCAGCAAGGTTCCTGGTGCAATCAGTGGTAGGAGCCTGTCACCCCCAGAGAGTGCCTGAACTCTCCAAAGAGGTGTCGAGTGTGAAGTTTAGCTTAGACCAACAACAGAAAATGCTAAGAAGGAGATCATAAGGTAAGATGGCTCTGTAGGCTAGTGTTTCACTCCTCTGTAGTGGATAGGCACTCAAGAATGTACATATTTTTGCTTAATATCTTGTACTTGACAACTGGCAAAGCCAGAATAAGGATGTTCTCCCCTCTCTTTAGAGAGTTAAACTTGTCTTTTAAAGTCTGACTGAGGATGAGAGTCAGGTGGAAATATCCATGGCTGCTCTGATCAAGATTATTTGAAAGACTTTATGGCATAAAATGTAAATTTGAACCTGACCACATTCAGGGTTATATCATGCTGGATAGTTGATACCGGGATTCTCCTAATTCATCCCAAAATTCCTAATTGTTCTTCAGGTTTCTCATTGGCACCAAAGTAGGTGATCTGATATTTATCCTGTGTGTTTTTCACAATAGGAGCATATAAATTTGTGTGAGCCTTATTACCTTAGGAGATATGAATGGATCTTTACTTCAGAAATTCCTAGAATATTTTGTTTTTTTAAGCATGTATTCAAGACTTGAAAAGAGCTATTAAGGTAAGGAAATTGTTTAACTACTTTGAGCTACTTTAACTACTACCTGTTTCCTTCTTTTGTTGAGTATTTAATAAAAACTAGAACATTGCTTAGATGGCGACAGAAAACACAGGTCTTGGGCTGAAACCTCCTCATATTTAGGGAGATGTGCCCATTTTATTGTTCCTGCTCTTCCTTCCCCTCCATCTCTTATTGTTCCACTGATTGATAATTACAAAGATCCTGCAGAGGGAGTTTTGCAAGAGTGGAGCTGTTCAAACAAGATTTCAGGGAAGTCCTACATTTTATTGTGTTAGCCAGTCAGAAATTATAATAATAGTCCAGAACTAGATTTTCCAGTTATGGACTGGCTTGTGCTGCATTGCTGCTCAGCTTTACACAGAAAAAGGCACAATACCCACTTTAAGTGCTATGGTAACACCAGGCATAGAAGCATGGCTAGTGATGTATGCCAGGGTCCCTAATAACTCAGGAAATGTAAGAGCTGATTCCTTACGCTGGTGGAAACTAACAGATCAGCAAGACATTTATAAGCAAAAATTCATGCCTTTCTTCTAGAAAAGCTTTCAGTAATTCCACTGGCAGTGTTTATAAAGTATATCTCTGTACACCTTTTCTATTCCACCTCACATGCTGCTCCTACCAGGCAGAACCTTTCGCTGTATTTTTTCTTCACTGCTTAGATGCAGTAGAAATGCACACAGTGCTTTGTTCTAATTTTGTATGCATTGCTTCCTTTTCTATATATTTTCCTCAGCTTCTCTCCCTTAATTTTATGGCATTACACCAGGAAGTGGAGGGATCCAAAGATAAAGCAGGACAGGACAGGGGGCTTCCTGAAGCCCTGTACTGATACTGGCTCTGAAATGGGAGACCTGGTGCTTATGAGCATTCAGATAATATGAAGCTGAAGAGTAGTGCAAAAAGGAAATATGATAGGGAATGAGTCAGTCCACACTCTGCAGGCTGTGACTCTCTCAGCAACCCCACTTTTGTGAGTTTCTCTGAAGAAGAAGCACAAGGAAAGATAAGAGTTTTACATTACAGTGTCCATGGATTGGTAACAGAGAATGCTGGCCATCTTCTGTTTATCTCTGTTACTCAAATCACAGCAGTCCCATCCCACTTCTGCTGGACCATTACTCATACCCATTCAAATTATTTGAACACTCAAGTAACCAGCAAAAATATGTGGTTAACAGAGAATCAAGCTCAGTCTGATCCTGTGGTTTTGATGTTTATCTGTGTTCAGGTAGAGAAAATTCTAAAAATGTAAGTCAAATTATATTACGTGCTGGCAGTCTAGAAACCCTACCTTCAATCACAGAAGAAGTACTCCTCTGCCAGATTATGCTGTCAAGGAATTAATGGAATTTAGAATAAACTCATACTAGGTATTGAAAAAAAGAATATGAGGAAATGTCTTAACTTCTTTTTTTGTACACCACTTCACAGGACCTCAGAACAACAATCACGTCCAATATTTTGGTGTGGTTTGTTAGGCAGCCGAAACAGAAGAAGCCAGCTCTGCAGCACGTATTCCATTGGAGAGCTCCAATGCAGCAGCAGAATTTGGGATTCTATCATCATTCTGCTTCTGGATTCTCCACATCCTCCCTAATGGTTTGTTCAGATGTACTCAGCGTGGGGCCCTCCCAGTCAGGGACAATGAAGAGGACAAAGGTGACTAAATTCTTGACAGGATACACCATTCAGGTCCTCTTAATGACTTCCAAGGTTTATGTTTGAATAACATGACGTGAATATACAACCACACCTCAAGCCACAGCACACCATTATCATCCCCATCCCTAAACTGCTCAAGTTTGTCTCTCTCCCTTTCTCGTACAAGCCCTTTTCTTTCCCCATTTTTTACATCTTAGGCTTTTTCGCCTTCGATGTGAGATTTGAAGCAAAACCCAAAAAGGTGTTTGTTAGCATTTTTTAAAGCTGAAATCAGAATTTACTGGACTTTATAACATATATAACTGAAACTCTAAAATAAAAATACTGTTAAAGTAAAATCACACAGTTCATAAAAAGATAGAAAGAGATTGGAAAGCAAATTTTTTATGCAGACTGAGAAAGAGCTAGAGAAATCCCCAAGCCAAGTTGTTTCACTCATTTGGAAAAGTACTGAAACAGATATACAAAAAAACTTCTATAATAAATAAGTGTATAAACAAAGTTTTATGTTAGGGTGAAGCAGTCTCCCAAAGAAGAAAAGAGCTATGTCCTCTAATAGAAACCTGAAATTAAATGAAAAGTTGGAAGCTACCCTTAGACAGGTAAGTGTAATGCAATCCTCTAGGGGAGATTTCAGAGAAAATAAGATTACACTGTCCTCATCTCATGCTGTGCTGCATCTTCCCTTCTGTATGTTCTATAAAGCATTTCATAGGAAATTAAATGGAACCACAGGATTAATCTTTATTTGTCCTGGAGTCACATTTTTCCTTCATGTATTCTCTCAATGTCTTCCTAGATTCTAACTTTACAATTCGAGCCTTACAATAGCAATTTTCTCGCTTGAATATATGCAGCAAATTCAGAGCAAGCCTTGCAACTAAGACTGAATTTTGCTACTCCCAGATCTGGGAGGAGAGGCTGGCTGGGGCTGAGCAGCTCCCCCTACAAGGAGGGAAGAGGAAGGTGGTGGGAAAATGTGTCAAGCTGGGCTTGCTGCTGCTGCTGCTCACTCCCAGGAGACAGGGAAATAAAGGATGGTGTCTGATGCCTGGTGCTGGAGGGAGCTGCTCTTCCCCCTCTCCCCATCACTACACACCAGCCCACTCACCAGGAGAGATAAAACACCTTTGTAAAGCTGCAGCTGTCAGAAACCATGGCAGGGAAGAAGTACACATGTTTGGGACTTTTTTTCTCTGTCTGCTTTTCTAAGCAGATGCCCACATTTCCCGTGGGCAAATCAATCATCAATAGGAACAAGTTAATATCCTGTACAGCTGAAGTGTGATTTCTGACTCTGCCTGTTAGAGAGAAGAACAAGGCAATCTGGTTTCTCAGAACAACATTGACAGAAATGGCTGTGGGCAGCCTCTCAAGCTATCATTGATTTACCTCAAGTACAATATATTTCTGGCAAGACAAGTCTCCATTTGAGCTGATTTAGCCTTCTTTAAGTCAAGGTTTATTGGTATTAGTCCAATCTGTTGACAGTTTCCTCTTGGGAAACTCATCAGGTATTTCTATAAAAACAGCAAATCATTGTGTTGTTCCCTTTGGAACATTTTGTACTGTGGAAGCCCTGCCTAGAACTTGTTCCTGCTGCACCTCTTTTTTAGCAACTGGCTCCCAAAATATCAAGACACTTTCTCCTTTCTTGGCTGTGCAATTTTTTTTTTCATTTTTTTTATATTTTTCTCCATGTTTTTTTTTTTTACTTTTTACTCTTTTTATCTTATTATACCTTAAGGTCTAGTACCTGAGTTGGAGATTTGTTTATGTTAGAAGAAAGGGGTGTAAGGATTAACAGAGATAAGATAAAAAGTTTATTGGTGTTTGCCCTTGAGCACAGGCACATGCCTCTGACTGCAGAAGCTGGTACCCAGGAATGGTCAGAAGGGCTCTATTTCATAGACAAACTTATGCCCTGTGTTGGTGGTTCACTGCTGTCACTGGAATAAAACACCACTGCATATTTTTCAGTTCCACCCCACTCTTTTAAAACTTGAGTGGATTTTAGTAAATCTGAGTAATGTAGTCATGGCCACTGTCACGGACATGGCTGGTGTCCATAGCCATTCTCTCATGGCTGGCATCCACCCACACTTTCAGAAATGTTTAATAGTCTCTATAATTGTTGAATACACTTTACATACTGACCTTGATTCTTGGAGGCTGTAAACACAGTCAAGGACTTCCACTTCTCAGATGATTATCTGTTGCCTTGGTGGTGATTCTCTTT